CTATTTTTTATATTCACACATTTTCAAATATTACATTTATAACACTTATAAAGTATTTTAAAATAATGAGCAACACACTTTCAACTATGACTAGTTTTCATAAATACACCACATTTTAATTATACTAATGTTTAATATCAGAAAACCCTACCTAATAGCCATTTTACGAAAAACCCACAACCTTTTGGAAATAATAGAAAATGTCCCAATTTGAAACCTTTAGTGCAGAATATTACCTTTGATATACGGAATACTCTACGAATGTTTTAGTCAAGTCAGACACCCGTAATCACATAAAAACATTATATATAGAGAGATTCTCATTGAATAAAAAATTCAATCCACATAAATAGTTTATGTTATCTATTTTTTATATTCACACATTTTCAAATATTACATTTATAACACTTATAAAGTATTTTAAAATAATGAGCAACACACTTTCAACTATGACTAGTTTTCATAAATACACCACATTTTAATTATACTAATGTTTAATATCAGAAAACCCTACCTAATAGACATTTACGAAAAACCCAAAACCTTTTGTAAATAATAGAAAATGTCCCTGTTTGAAACCTTTAGTGCAAAATATTACCTTTGAGATACGGAATACCTCTACGAATGTTTTAATCAAGTCAGACACCCCTAATCACATAAAAACATTTTATATAGAGAGATTCTCATTGAATAAAAAATTCAATCTACATAAATAGTTTATGTTAACTATTTTTTATATCCACACATTTTCAAATATTATATTTATAGTACTTATAAAGCATTTCAAAATAATGTGCAATACACTTTCAACTATGAATAGTTTTTATAAATACAGCACATTTTAATTATACTAATGTTTAATATCAGAAAACCCTACCTAATAGCCATTTTACGAAAAACCCACAACCTTTTGGAAATAATAGAAAATGTCCCAATTTGAAACCTTTAGTGCAGAATATTACCTTTGATATACGGAATACTCTACGAATGTTTTAGTCAAGTCAGACACCCGTAATCACATAAAAACATTATATATAGAGAGATTCTCATTGAATAAAAAATTCAATCCACATAAATAGTTTATGTTATCTATTTTTTATATTCACACATTTTCAAATATTACATTTATAACACTTATAAAGTATTTTAAAATAATGAGCAACACACTTTCAACTATGACTAGTTTTCATAAATACACCACATTTTAATTATACTAATGTTTAATATCAGAAAACCCCTACCTAATAGCCATCTTACGAAAAATCCCGGACATTTTGGAAATAACAAAAAGGTTCCTTTGAGGTACGGAATACCCCTCACTATCTAATTCCATTAGTTTAACAGTTAAAAATAGTAAAAGTTGTCAAAATTAAAAAAGGAATAATTGTAGTTGTGGTCCTAAACTTTTTATTTTTTATTTTTTACAAATTATTCTCAAACTTTTTATATGTGTTAACGACAATTTCAAACCTTTGAAATTTTATTTTCTTCCCTACCTCACCTCCACTCTATCTTATTTCCCACCCTAATGGGAAAGACAACGAAAATTTCTTGGTCTATGCTCTGGCATTCAAATTGCCAACTTAATTTATGTATAAGGGCATCTTCAATGGATGCACCAAATCATCAAAATACACCAAATTTTGATGCTAAACCTCTCCAATGTGGCATCAAAGTTTGCACCACTTTGCATCAAATAGTGCAAAGTCAAATTTACTTTTTTCTTCTATTTGCCAAACTAATTGATAGAAGATATTTGTGTCTGTCATTTGTATTATTTATTTTTAATAAAACAAGTTTTTATTATTATAATTCTCATTATGATTAATAATAATAAAATAAATTTTTATATACATTAATGAATTTAATATTTTCAATAATTTAACTTAATTATTTATTTAGTAATTTATGTATTTGTAAAATAAATAAAGAAATAATTTTTTAAAAAATAAATTATTGAGAATAAAAAAGAGAAAAAAAATTCATTAATGTAAAAAGTTCATTTGGTATAAGTTTTGGTATGATGATTGAAGATGATTTTTACTTTGGTATAAATTTTGGGATAAAATGGTGGAAAACTTACCTCAAGTTTGATGCAGGGTGAGAAGTCTTTCTTTTTCCAACTCCACTTTTGAAATCCATTGATCATTCCATTCCACATCTCTCCTTCTCTAGCTAGTACGCTGTTCATAGATATCATCACTTGTTAGAAAATGGTATAAAATGGGTCAACTTTGGACCCAAATTTTAGTAGGATCCATATATTAATTAATACGGGATCTAACATGTTCACGTTCTACTCCTCGAGGTGATGAATGTGGTATATTTATTTATCGAAAACCATTTAGAATTGAATGAAATATTTAATGTCAAAGTAACTCACTTGAAACTATGAATTAGTGAAGAATTTTATTTGCCCAAACACTTATCCCATATAGGAAAGTTATGAAATTTTGGTGTGGTTTATATAATGCAAGTTTGGGAATTAGGTTTGGGCCCCAAGGGGGACCAATAATCTTTGGAAAGGGGGAGACCTATATCCTATCGGGTTTGGTCATAAGCCCACACGCGCGCTACCACCGTCGGTCCGACCGATCGGCTCGGCTCGACACAAGCACTTGCCCGTGTCCGAGTCCGATTCGATGCGGGTACGTTCTTGCATTATATTAATTTTTTGGACAAAATTTATTTGAATTTTTGGACCAAATTGTATACAATCAAATTCTTGGGTACTTAATAAAATTGTTTTTTTTCATTGGCTTTTTCCGGTGGCATTTTTCGGGTAATTTTTTGTCTGGATGGTCTGTTAAACAATCGACTGTTAAACGACCAAACAGTCGACTGTTAACCGTCGACCGTTAACCAACTTAACAGACGCAGTATTAAACTAACATGTCTGTTGGAATTTTGAAGGCTGTCTAAATAGTGGCGACTGTTCTAGAGGATGTTCAAATGACCACAAACAAGTCTATAAATAGCCTGCCCCGCTGCAAGAAAAATTACACCATTTTCATTGCACATTTTCTCTGCTTTGAATCTCATTCTCCCTCTCGTTTTGATATTATTTTCGAAGTAAAAACATTTCCTTACGTTCGTTAGAACTCCTGCAGATTGCTGTGCTATTCCGTAGGAGATGAAATTCGTTCTATCTTGGGAAACGATTGCTGAACATTTTTAGCACCGTTGAAGGCAGCAAATTTGTTTTAAGGAAATATCGTGAAATCGGTGGGATCGAATTTAATTTTCTATAGTACGGTTACGGTAATTCTTTCGGATTGTTTGAAGGGGAAACTTATACTCCAGAAACAACAGGCTTAAAATGAATCTGCTTTTCTAGATCATTCTATTTCTACTCCTTCTTATCGATTATCTTCTGATTGTATTTCAGAAATGGCAACTTCTGATACTATACTCCTGAATACGACCGGAGAAAATTCAGAGAAATTTAATGGGTCAGATTTTAAGCGTTGGCCACAAAAAATGCTTTTTTATCTGACAGCATTAAGTTTGGCAAAATTT